CTCTATGTCCGTAGGACAGTACTTAAAATGCCGGGGAAGATTTATTTTTCTGGACTCGCATATGGCCGGAAACAACAGTCGAGAAAATCCAGCTTCCTAGCCTTCGTAATTCTCGAATTGAACCATCTCTGTACGAGGCGAGATACCGCTCATCCATACTCAAAAGCATGTCTTCAGCACAGTGTATCTTGAATTCGGAAATGCGGAAGAAGGGAGAAAAGACTTGCGAAGTCCTAATTTTATGGTTTTAACGCGAAAACAGTGTGAAGCCCATTACTTGGAATCCCTTTCATACATCGCTACAGCGTGACCTGTTTTTCCATCGAGCTTTCCATTTGGCTCAGAGTTAAGCTACCATTGCAGCTTAAAACTGAAACAAGCCAATCATCGAATAGTTTAATAAAACTGCGCTTGTAATACAGCAGAGCAGACTGCCAACGAATTTTCAGAACTCAGAGTTTTCCTAACCCTCCTGCCCTTCTCTTAGGTCTTAAACCAGCATAATCTAGAGCTGCGCAAGCTGCTGTTCAGGATATTGGCAGCAACTTCCAAATCGACAAAAAAATTATTATCACAGTATAATACAGTACCATTTGTGCCTACGTAGCCTATTTGAGTGTGTAACGACTTAAAGCACAAATGCATAAATACCTTACTCTGTATGATACGCTGCCTAATTTTTGATGTACAGTGCTTGCTGCTTCCAGCAAGTTAAAAATGCTGGCTTTTTCAAGCAGATATGACAAAATTGACTTGCTGTTGAAATGATTCCGCGAGCCGTCGGCTCTGGAAGGAAAAGCATCGGTAGGCGCCAAAGGAAGACCGTGAAGTATAAGTGGACAACACCTTGCTTTATTTTAGTGTTTTTAATAAACATCGGCTTTCTGTAATAGGCCTATCAGACAGAGCTAGAATCCTAAAGCGTTCAAACAATCCGGAAAGTTACTGCACTGTATAACACGGATCAGGAGGAAGCGGAATAATATATCAGTCGATCTTATTTATTAATCAGTCAATGGTGAAAAATACACGAACTTGCCCTTTCTTGATAAAAATTGAGTGTTTGGTTGTAGTGACATGAATAGCCCTTGCGATCAATTGTTTTTCATACGTACATTTTGCTTTGAAAACGATTCCCGATGGGGAAACTGTTAACAACCCTGCGAATCGAGGCACTGGAGTTGTTGGCTAACAGCTATGTGCTTGAAAAACAGATCGTGAATAGAATTTATGCCTGTGTGAGGGTAAATGTTGCATCTGGACAATTTAAAGACGAAAAAACCGTTTGTCGAAGGGAATGCTCCTCTATTTTCCAATACCCCCCGAAGCTGTGGCATAGGGAACAGATAACTAAGTTTTCATCACCACAAGTAATTTAACATAAAAACTCACCCGATTTTACCAGCCGAAAAAAAGGTTCCAAAAGCACCACCCGTGATTTTGAGAATTCTGAATAGAAATCAAAAAATACACATAAAAGCCGCATTACTTTTATATGACTGACTTTTAGTTCGATTTGCATTTTTTTTTCTCAGATTTTCCAATTGAGAGAGAATGCATCATAATTTTTTCTAAAGAAATTGAATTT